TATGGTTTTGAAATTGAATCTTATTAATACCTACGTTATAGATCTTTTCCATTAAGAATTTCCCAATATCCCTTTGTCAAAAGATGCATTTACAGATTGCAGGTGATAAATGTCAGGTAACGGATGCCATTAATACCTTATACATTTTATCTTAAATTTTTATTTTGTAAATTAATTTTCTTAGTAAGCAGAATTTTTTAGAAAGAATTCATTTTTGTTTAAAATAAATAATAAAGATTTTTTCCTATTATATAACCCGTGGTATCTTTAATTAAATACAATAAATTTCGAGTCACAACATTTAAAAATGTCCTTTTGTAAATTTATTTTTTAGTAATTACCAACAACGCTTGTTATACATACATCTAACAAACTATTTCAGCGGTAGCGAGTTCCAGTAAGTCCGCAGAATAAAATCGTTTTTTTATTTATCTGCTGCAGTGCTTAGTTTCTAATTCGCGTCGTTTATTTTTATACGACGGCCAATAAATTCGGGTTATCAGTGGAAACCTGGAGAAACGCTGATACAGAGTATACTCATCAAACATCCTGTCTCGTTGGTAGCCGATAGTGCACGAACGTAAACACCTAATTATACGTTTTGTATTTACCAACACTTATCAGCAAAGATCACATGTTTGCTAATTTAACAGATGTTAAATTGTAATACATGCATGTCCTTTTATTTTATTAAAACGTTACGAGTATCAAGTATTTGGTTAAATTGAAAACTTATTTATATTCGTTAAATAAACTTTTTTGAAATAAAATTTTTGAAAACGCGTCTTTACTACACAGTAAAAATCGATACTTGGGAGAAATACAAAATTTGTAAAATATGAGCTTGATGAAGAAGTTAAGGAATTATTAATGGAATAAATGTTAAAATTCAAATTATGTTTATTTATTTCTTAAAGTGTGTTAAAACTTGTACGAGGTGTGTTCAAAAAATAACGGGAATTGTTAAATTTCGCGGGATCGGAGGGTCCGGTTTTCATAAAATTTTCTTTATTATGTTGGTATACATGCCCCCGAAGTATGATACAAATTTTAGCTGTTTTCATTGTTTACTTTGTCTGTGGCAGCCGCTAAGGTTAGACGTGTTTTATGAGCTCGGCGATTTTCGTTCGTTCGAAAGAAATGGATCAAAGAATTTGTATCCAATTTTGCTTAAAAAATGAAATAAATTTTGTGAAATGTTAACAAAGGCCTATAGTGAGTCTGCTATAAGTAAAACAAGAGTTTACAAGTGGTATAAGAGTTTCCAAGATGGCCGTGAAGACGTTGAAGATGACGAACGCCCCGAACACACAAGCACATTAACAACCGATAAAAACATGGAAAAAGTGGAAGAAATGGTTATAAACCATCAGAGAAGTCGCTGATGATGTTGGTATATCGATTGGCTCATCCCATGAAATTTTTTCGAATATTTCGGGTATGAAACGCGTGGCTGCAAAATTTGTTCCAAAATTGTTAAATTTTGAACAAAATTTTTGGCCAAAAAAAATACTGTAATGATGCTCCAGCCTCCATAATAGCCAGACATGCCTCTGTCTGACTTCCTATTCCCAAAAATAAAGAGAACCTTAAAGGGCCGTAGTTTTGCAAGCATAGATGACACTAAAGGCTATCCCAAAGATCGAGTTTTAGAAGTGTGTCGAGTAGTGATGCCGCGAGACGAGACGAGACGAGAATAGTCCTTCTCTCGTCTCGTCTCGTGCAGCGAGAGAAAATGGGTCTCTCGTCTCGTCGAGAATACTCTTTTCTCGCTCGAGAGTGCCTTTCTCTCGTCTCGTCTCGTTTCTCTCGTGGTAAAAGTACCTAAGTATGAATACAAAAATTATTTGGAATGAAATACTAATTCGTTTATATTTTTTTTTCTACTCCTATTACGGAATTTGAGCGTTCTAATATCACTTTTATCTATGGAATGACATATATTCCGTAAAGTGTTACAGAATGAAATATTCTATCATCGGATGACAGAATAAACACTCGTGGCGACATCTCTGTTTTTAATATCTAACAAACTTTAGACCGATCCAACCTCACTTTCTTCCAATTAAATTATTTTTTTATGGTATTTTTTGGAAACGTAGAAAAAGTATAGTCTAAAAAATATACTATTATATAGAAATTTAAATAAAAGGTAAATGTGACCAAAGGGGACATTATTTGGTGCTACCGCTAGCCACCCCCTACCCCTCCTTAAGGGTGAAACGGGGGGTAACTTTGGAGAGTCAAATGGAATAACCATTTTTTTACAGATTTTGGTAGTACATAAAAAAATGAATTTTTTCAATTTATCAACAGATGGCGCTGTAATTCAAAATTTAAGAAAAATGGGTTTCCCTGTAAAATGTATTATTTGAAACGTTTGAAAAACAAAAATGAACATTAAATCAACAATAGTCGGCTCTGAAAACAAATTATAACAAATGTTCGAAATGTCGTCCTATCGGCGCAGTAGTTTTTAATGGATCAAATCATTTGATCCCTCCATCTGAAAACTACTGCGCATATATGATGTAACTACTCCACATAGATCCGACCATCTTGTACCTACTGCGCATGTCAGTCATTTTGAATCCGCAATTTTGTTTTTTTTAATGGATATCAAATTCTGAATCAGGGACCCCATAAATATCTGAATACTAAATTTTACCCAAACCATTAAAGCCGAACGATGAATTTTCGTCATATTGGATCAGCCATTTTATTTAAAAAAAAATGGATATCAAATTTGTAATCAGGCCCTCAAAAACCACATGTTGTTGATAAGTTTATTGAATAAGAAATGCTTATTAAGCCTACGGGTTTTTGTAATAGTATAAGGAGTGCCATAGATGTGCTTATACAGGGTAAATTTTAAAAATTATTATTATTTTATAAGTAATTGTTTCTTGGTTAACGTTAAGTTGTGTTATAAAATAATACAACGTTAACCAGGAACAAATTTTGTTTATTATGAAATAATGCGAATAATGTTCTCATTGGTCCAAATAAATATCGTCATTTATGTGTAAAATTATAATTTTTATGTAAAAAAAAATTGTTTTTTATAATCGAGAGAACGAGAGAGATCGAGAGAAACGAGAAATTCTCGAGCGAGAGAGGGCATTCTCTCGTCTCGTCTCGAGCCTTTTTTCGAGAGAAAATCGCCCTCTCGTCTCGTCGAGACGAGACGAGACGAGACGAGAGGCGAGAATCTCTCGTATCGGCGGCATCACTAGTGTCGAGTATTGGAAGAAGAGCTGGCACATGTGCATAATATCCAATGGGGACTATTTTGAAGGGGACAACATTAATGTAGACGAATAAATAAATATTTGTTTCATAAAACTAAAATTCCCGATATTTTCTGAACACACCTCGTAATTATACCTAATAATCCTTATTTAATACGATTAAAACATAGTTAATTATACGTAATAACTCCTATTTAACACATTAAAAAAGGAAAAAATTATATTTAGGTATTTGTAATAAAAAAGGTATTGAATTTTTTCCGCAAAACGCTGCTTTTGACCATAGTGACGTGTATGTAATTGGTTGCGATATTGGTGCCTAAACAATACATTCAGAGTAGTCAAGATAATTATTTACCATTTAGAATTAAATTTTAAATCTACTTAATTAAAAGTTTTTACATCACGGTGTGCCTGAACAAAGTTTAAGTCACATAAAAATGCCGCCAAAATCTAATTGCAGTTTCTTGTTCGGGACCCTTTGGGGACTTAAAAATGATATTTACCAAAATCCTAGCTGCTTCTCTTTTCGAAAATTCATGTTTTTTTTTTTATTTTTGTTTATTCAAAGTCTACCTTTGACAGAGTTCACATTTGTACACTGATTTTTATAAAATTAGAGTATATTATTGAGAAGATTTAAGAATACTTTTTAATACTGTTCACATCATTTGATATATACAGGGTGAGCCAAATTCATGATTTTGGCATAACACGCAAAAAAGATTTATCCCCATTTTTTTTTAGATATTTTTACATTACAAAATGGCATTCTTATTAAGCTTTTATAAAAAAATAGATTTTTAATAAAATTAAATAAAATAACGCTTGGAGAATATTTTAAATGTTGTTCAATATTGGCTTTTTAGTAGTTTTCAATTTTGAACGAAAAACTGGTTAAAGTTTTTTGATCGGCACTCTTTGGAGATTTAATAACGATATTTACCAAAATTCTAACTGATTTTTTTTAAATTTGTCAAAAAATCATTTTTTTTTAATTATTTGTTTATCGCAAAGTCTACCTTTCCCAGAGTACACATTTGTACACCGATTTTTATTGATTGCAGTTTCTTGTTCGGGACCCTTTGGTAACTTCATATTTACCAAAATCCTAGCTGCTCCTCTTTTCGAATTTTTTTGAAAATTCTTATTTTTTTTTTATTTTTGTTTATCTTACCTTTGACAGAGTACACATTTGTACACCGATTTTTATAATATTGGAGTATATTGTTAACGAGACTTGAAGAATACTGTTTTCATACTGAGAACATCATTAGATTTATACAGGGTTAGCCAAAAATCACTTTTTTATATGGTAAAAAGCATAATGCACAAAAAAGATATACACGGAGAGAAAAATTTTGTTAAAACAACTATCCAAAGTAAAACAAAAATTTTAAAAAAATCATGACTTTTCAAAAAATTTCGAAAAAAGGAGCGGCTAGGATTTTGGTAAATATCATTTTTAAGTCACCAAAGGGTCCCGAACAAGAAACTGCAATCAGTTTTTGGCGGCATTTTTATGTGACTTAAACTTCGTTCAGGCACACCGTGACATGTATTAAATCAATGCATTTTATTTTTCCACAACGAATTCCAGTTTCCAATTTAATTAAGTAGTCATTAAATACAAAAATTCTTAATTTTATGCAAATATTTCTTAACTTAACAAGAAAAAAGTCAATGCATTAGTGAACATAGACTCAATGCGTATAGTCATATAATCAAGTGGTCGTTTTCTTTTCCCAGGTGGAACGACATGGAAATGCGACAGCATGACGCATCTAGTGTCGGGGATAGCGACGCCGCTCCTAGATTCGCGGGAAGCTCTGGAGTCCGAGATCAAGCGGCTGCAGGAGCGGCTGAACACGGTGGAGACCGAGAACGCGGCAATGAGCGTGAAATTGAATCAGCACCAATGGGAGCTCGAGAACCGGCTGACCGAGATCGAGATGCAGATCTGCGGATCGAGGTCCACCTCCAGTCTGGAGGACAACGAGCGGAACAGGGAAAGCTTCATTTAACAACAAAATATGCTGCCTTACCGAATGCTGCAACCACCCGCCCAATACGTGTTCGTTCAATACATCGTGTAATGGCAGCAACCGAACAGACTTTTTTCAAAAACTTTTACAGACGATTTTTAGTGAATTTTTACTGTTGTCAAATTGATACAAAATAAAGAAACTATATGTTTTGTGAACTAATCGCAACAATGACTGCCAAAGAGATCCACCTACATAATATATTGTATGTTTATTATGACGAGTGTCTCAAATACGAAATATCATCTTTTATGACGTCATAAAATCCGTATCATTAGATTTGATTTGAACACGAAATACCTATTCTAAAAAACTATACAACAAAATTCACTCCTCCTGTATTAAGTCTTGCTTTTTATTAAATAACCATAAACTAAACACTTCATGAATACTAGGATCGAATATTTTTTTACGACACAAAAAAGGAATTTATTAAAAAAAATGTTTTTTAATAATTCTGTAACTCATTGAAATAGTATATTACACTACAAGGGCAGAAAGTGTGAGATTTCTGCACTGCGCATCATGGCGCGCAGTTCAGGGCTCTCACACTGTGTATACTATTTTTCTTGCTACCTGGCCGAAAATACGGGAAAAAATTAAATGTGTATATCTAAACATAATTTGAGGATATATTAGTGTCGTAATCAGAGTTGCATATGTTGAGTACTAGTGCACAAAATACGTTGTTTCGTCCCCGATTCCAATGCATCAAACGTAAACTTTCTGCCGTGGAATCGGGGACGATACAACGTATTTTCAGTCGAGGTAGTAAGAAAAATAATTATTGTCAAATTTAACGCTATACAAAAAAGGTTTAACTATGATTTCGCGAAAGAATCGAACGATCGATTTACAACACATCTCAGATTTTTTTTTAATTTTAATATTTTGTTTATACATCCAATTTAACACTAAATCTAAAATTTTTCTTTCATCTGACTTAAACTTTAGCTCCTAGAAACCATTTAATTTTGCCTTTCACAAAAAGGCCAAATTCCATTATTTTGGCATACATTTTTTATTAAAATACTGAATGATTTGAAATTTGGCCCATGTATGACCCCTATTAGTACCTACAATTCTGTCAAAAAAAAGTTTTAATTTTTTACATACAGGTGGCGCTGCAATTTTTTTTTCTTCGAAAGTAGACGTTTTTTGAAGACAAAAAATTCTCTTAAGCAACAATGCTCAAAAAAACTAAATAGCGTACCAGATAATATAGATATTCCTTTATAATTCGACATATAAAAATTTACTTGCAAATGATGTTGCCGCCCGTAAAGCCAACTTATAGTTTGGTCTACCGCATTAAAAAAAATTGAATTACACTTTCAACTCTATCCTTATTTTTAAACTAAGGAAATCCAGGTGATGGCTTTTATTGGTTACTAAAACGCAACAAAAAAAAGTTTTATTTTTTTATATACAGGGGGCGCTGCAGCCTTTTTTTCAAAAATAGACGTTTATAAAGACCATAAAGTTACTTAAGCAACATTGCTTAAAAAACTAATGACATTACTTATAATGTATCAGACAATATAGATATTCTTTTATTGTTTGACATATAAAAATTTATTTGCAATAATTAATGCCTTTTGTAGGGACGATTAAAATTATAACTAGTGCACGTACCCGCATATTGTTATATAAACGCCTTTTTTCGCTTTTATTGTTGTATAAAAGGTAACAAAACCAAAGAAATTTTAATTACAAATGGTAACAAGTATTTCAGTGACTCTATAGTAATAGTAATAGTAATATGACCATTTGTTTAAATATATTTTAGTATATTTCGAGAGGCAAAGCATTCTTTATTATCGTACTTTAAAATTAAACTAAAGTCAAGCCTATAGGCTGGGAATCAAGTTACCCCAACAGTTGACAGTTACTGTCAAACGGTAACCATAATAACATTTAAAATTTTGCCGTTATTACAAAAGTTGAAATTGGAGAGGGAAAATATCATGCTTTTAAAGGTACGCAAAGTTAATAAATTTTCTTTAAGTAAATCAAAATTCTAGGAATTGAATTTTCTTCTGGAGTAAACATAAAAGTTCCTTGGACATCATCGAGTCGACAAAAGGAAAATCTAAATAATTTAAAAGCAATTAAATATAGGTGCGACGAATTACTTTGCAGTAGGGTTTTTGAAAATAAAGATGATCTTCTAAACCACCTTAAATTTCAAAATCATAAATTTCCTGAAATTAGACAAACTATAGGTGATGTTGCTAGAATTGAATTTTTAAAACAAAAAGATGTTTTTTTTAACTGCAACTAGTTCAACAATATCTACCGTCAATATATGCCCAAATGAAGAAGATAAAAATACGTTTTTTCGAGTATATGCAAAAGGGTTCGGAAGGCGCAAAATTAAAAAATCACGTTTTAATGAAAAACAAAAAGATTTTGTTGGCAACCTTTTTGAAGAAGGTGAAAAAACTAAAATTAAATATACGCCTGAATATATAGCAACAGCTTTACAAAATTATGAAGTAAATGGCAAATTTTAGTTTTCTTCAAACGAGTATATGCATCCTAATCAGATACGCGGCTTATTATCAAGATTATCGTCAGATAGAAGGTTAAGCAAAAATAGAAAAAGAAAATTTAAAAATTTGCCGGAAGAAATTGAAGAAATTTGCCCAGAAGCGGAAGTTTTTTTGAAGCTTTATCAGTTTTAAAGTAGTTCCTTTGCGGCATAAGTAACTTTTAAGTTATAAATAACCCTGGTTAAAATATCTAGACTGATTCTGAGAATCGCTCTAGAGATTTGAACCAGCCAGTAGGATATAAACCAGGGTTATTTATAACTAAAAAGTTAGCGAATATACCCCTTAGAGCCCAACAAGTTTAAAATTTAATGTAAAGGTAATAATTATTATTATTATAATAATTATTAGGATATATCTTTATTATTTAATATATGCAAATCTTGCAGATAAATTGTTATATGTTAAATAATAAAGAAATAGTAATATCAATAATAATAATAAAGAAAAACATAATAAATAAAATAAAGAACAAACCTATTAAATAAATATTGGAATACGTAATTCTTTATAATAAAGGAATACATAACTATATTATCTGAAATGCTATATAGTTTTTAAATAAAAAAGGCTGCAGCGCCCCCTGGGTGTGAAAAAATAAAACTTTTGTTTGCTGTGTTATTGTTACCAATAAAAGTAATCTCCTGGAATTCCTTAGTTAATAAATAAGAATAAAGTTGTAAGTGTAATTCAATTTTTTTTAATGCGGTAAACAAAACTTTAAGTTGGCTTTACGGGCGGCAACATCATTTGCAAGTAAATTTTTATATATCAAATTACAAAGGAATATGTATATAATCTGGTATACTATTTAGTTTTTTTGAGCATTGTTGCTTAAGAGAGTTTTTGGTCCTCAAAAAACGTCTATTTTTGAAGAAGAAAAAATTGCAGCGCCACCTATATGTAAAAAATTTAATTTTTTTTTTGGTAGAATTGTAGGTACTAATAAGGGTCATTTATGGACCACATCTCAAAACATTCAGTATTTTAATAAAAAAATTATGCTAATATAATGAAATTATGGCTTTTTGCGAAAGGTAAAATTAGATGGTCTCTGGGAGCCAAAGTTTAGGTCAGATAAAAGAAAAATTTTAGTTTTAGGTTGGAATTAGATGTATAAACACAATATTAAAATATAAAAAAAATCTGAGATGTGTTATAAAAAAATACCCCAAAATCGTTCGATTCTTTCGCGAAATCATAGTTAATGTGTTTAATTGATTACTTTAACCATTTAGAAGATATTCGTATACGAATCTCAATGCGTACTGAATGAATATCTTCTCAACGGTTGGAGTAATCAATTAAACACATCAGCCCTTTTTTGTAGAGCGGTAAATTTCCTACAAAAATATGTCATACTCATTTGACAATAATTATATTTCAATAAATTATTTTAAAAAACTTTTTGTAAAACGATTAATTAATAATGAAATATGGTCTTTTTTATAAGTGACTAAAAAAAATGAAAAACTGTGATCTTTTCAGTGTCGGAAGTAAAAAAAAATATTCGATTTTTTTGAATCAGCCTAATGACTACAACTCATTAATTTGACATTAACAGTTCTGTATTTACTCAATGTTGCCACCATAATATTGGTAATAAACAAAAAATTCCATAGCACGACTGTTACGTAATATATATTATCTACGCCAGTGAGATAAGAACTTCTTATCCCACTCATTTTGAGTGAGATAAGAAGTTCATTAACGCACGCGTTTTTCTCTGTTTTTAACCAATCAAATAAAAAAGTCAAAATGTCAAAATAACCCTAAATTAAGTCTTAGACAAAAATAATTACCGTTTATTTTTTCATTTAGAGGCGTAGATAAAAATTTGTACAATATACGTGTGATAACGCTTTATTAACGTACTTTTGCAATTGCCCAACTCGTGCTACGCACTCGTTGGGCAAATTTCGCATGCGTACGTTAATAAAGCTCTTATCCCACTTGTATCGTAAATAACTATTATTATGCACTACCAATTACATAACAGTATACAGAATGATCTACTAATATTACGGTTCCCACAATCTGTCAAAAAACGGGACTCTGTGTGAATTTACCTTAATTACAAAAATGACTCAATGATGCAATGCAAAATATAAATTTGGCGTTTCTTATTTATTGTTGATATTATGAAGCCCACACGGAGAACTCAAATGGAAAAATTGACAGACTATGCCTATAATATCGCACAAATTTCTTTTTGTTTTCACCACTAGGTTTTTTTGACAAAATAACTTACATTCCAAGTTGACAGTACAACTTTTGACAGTTTACATGGAAGTCGTAGATTATAGTTATTTGTTTTTCAAGTGAAAGACGACAAACACAAAAAAATGTTTTTTCAGAATTTTAAATTTATTTGACACTTAACCTGACATCTGACAACTGACGTGCGGTTTTAACCTCACTTTTTACCAATCTGACTTTTTTCACACAGAAACCTCACTTTTCATTCCAGTTTTTTCTTGCGAAGGAAAATATGTGACTTTTACATACCGGGCGTAGAAAAATGCTTTTTCTGTATATGTCAAATTTTTGAGGTGGTTTAAAAAATATCAAGTCCTTTTTGGATTAGGTTTGGATTTGAAAAAATTTATTATTTAAAATTATAAATAGGTTTTGTACAAACTCTACAGAATCTTTAAATTATTTAAAAATATTTTAATATTTTTAATTATGTACATTCTTTCACTGGCTGAAGTTACCAATGGTGGCTTTTGGGCATTTTAGTCACAGGCTAAAGTTAGCTTTTTTATAAATTGCAAAAAAGTGAGGTTAAATTCGTTAGATGTTAAATATTTAACAATTAAAATTGGCTTTAAATTCTTATTTGTGTTGTTTGTAGATAAAGTATATTGACTTCTCTAGACACTAGTTTTTATTAAACACTCGCACGCAAGCTTCGCTCGTGCATAATAAAACTTGTAATTAAAATGGCGTTTATAAAATTTGATTATAATATGCTTTTACCATAAATGTCAAAATAATAATTTTACTGTGGTTTATTGATTTTTATAAACAACCAAAAATGACAAAACCTAAAATTTTTGTTGCTCAGTGTAATCCTATTAACTGGAGGTGTGCCAAAGTACTTTTAATATCGAATACAATTAAGGAGCGTTATTTTCCATAGAAATCTTTAATTTTCTTGTTTTATGACGTCATAAAAACCAACGATGCTTCGGCGAGATTACGAAAAAAACGAAATATATACCACATATTCTTAAAACGGAAATATGAAA